TCTCTCCAATATAGAAAATGGAGGACACATTCATTGTCCTCTATATCTAGATTGAGGTTTTCTCCCCTAACAAAAGTTTTAAGTCAACAGCTGACCTCTGACCTCTTATGACAGAAGGAATATGAGAGGACGGGTTTCCCAGTAAGGATGAATAAATGATCATGTTATTCTACACTGGCACGCATGGCTGTCTCTACATACAAGAAGACAACACAAGAGTGTTGTTTGATATTAACTGGTGTCAAACTTGTGTTGGAGATATTGGTTTTAACCAAATGAATACCCGACCAAACGTCAGATGTTTTATTCTCCTGTGTCAGGAAAGTGGACCTGGATCACTGCCTGGTCCGGCAGTCTAAGGAGAGCGGACGCACCGCTCTCTGCGTCGTTGTGGAGAGCATCCGGACCACCCGTCAGTGCTCTCTGACCGTGCACGCCGGCATGAGAGGGACCACCATGAGGGTAAACACAAATACATTTAGACACACTTTGGGAATGCAACACCACCAACTTGTAGTGAATAAAACTGTATAAGAAAATTCAGACACTAATTCATCCCAAGTTGTTCAAATGTCCTGCATTGAAGTCAGGTACTATACCAATGGCGTAATACTTCAACTGTTAATCTTATATTCAACAATGTCAAATTTATTGAGTTTATTATATTGTAATGGAAAGTTTCCAATTATGCAAAATGCACTTCTTGATGTCTTTTATACATAAATATGTGTCCTCTGTGTGTAAGGAGACTCACAAAGTGTCAGAAAATACAGCCCTCTCTCTTTTCCTCCTTACCCACATCTCTACAAACGGTGGTTCAACGGAGCTGATCCAGATTTGCTGCGGTCATGACGCGTTACTAAAAATGTGTGCTGGCTTTACGTTGATCTCCTGGCAACGTTCTGCCCACGGCCCTATCGTCCCCTATCAGAAACGTTGCTGTATCAGAAACAATGTGCAACGTTTTGGAAGTAATATGGTCTGTGTTTACATTAGCAAGCATAGCTAACACTCAGAGCTAACGCTGTACTGGAGAGAATATGTGTAAAAAAGCTGGATATAAAAGGTTGTGGTAAACCCGCGAGAGAGAAAGCGTTTCAGCTCCATACTGTTTCAGAAATAATCCTTGTTTGGAACATAATATGGCTTTTAATCACAGCAGCGTTTAGCTGAGTTTCTGCTGAGTAGATACTCTTCTCTCTGCAGCACACTGCTCCAGAATCAGCAATTGTAACAGGGCTGAAACAGAGGGGTATGAGGCATGCTACAATGCATGATCTGTTTGGTATTTTGAGCAAAACACTTCATAGACATGTTTTTTTATAGATCTGAGACCTAGAATATATGCCTAAAAATTGTATAATAGGAGACCTTTAAATAAACGTTAATAAAATGGCTAGTAAAAGACACAAAACATTTCAATTTTTGAAAGAAAAAAACTACAAGATCTTCAAAACCCTTTTTGGCTTTTTCTTCCCAAAAAGTCACCTGGCTGATAAACAGGTGTGTCACTCAGCTTTCTGTTGTGATGCAGTTTCAGATCGACGACGGCAGGAATCCTAAAGGTCGAGACAAGGCCATCGTCATCCCGGCTCACACTACCATTGCCTTCAGCATCTGCGAGCTGTTTGTCCGACTGGACGGGCGACTGGGTAAAAAACACACCTACTCTAACTCAACATTAAACACACACTAATGCTCCTTATCTTTATGAAAATGATTGTTGAAACAACTTCTTGTGTACAGTGTAGACTATTGAATAAAACATTGAAAAAAGTTTGAAAACCAAACATATTCTTCAGTTCTGTTACAGTGCTGAAATTAGAAACCTCTCCCTTGAATGAGATAGTTTTTCTATCACCGGCTCTAATCTACTAATGACATTGACATGAAAGTCAACAGAGCATTTAAAGGATAAGGAGTAGTTTGTGCGTAAATTGAAGGTTTGAATCCCTTCATGGGAGCATCAGCACCCGAGGCTCCTCTGCAGTCTTCATGCTTCACATTCTTATAAAACTATAACAATGTCTGCACATATAAACATGAAAAGGATCTGTTCCTCCTCTAGAGTTACGGTGTCATTATGACTTATGACCAAGCAACAGTGGCACCTGAAATTACACCCTTTACACAACTTAATACTGCAGATAGTGTATTGACTTTTAAAGGATAATGGGCCTAATGGGTAAGGTGTCTGACTTCAAATCAGGAGATTGAGGGTTTAAGTCCAAATTTCCCTTTGTGGTTAAAAGTTCCAACCTTATTTGAATCAAAAGCAAAGACAAATGGTTGCTTCCATGTTGAGCACAGTGTTAAACAGCTGCTATTAAAACACTCACAAGCTAAAGCAATGATCAAACATTGGAGCAAAACCTAAAAGGAGTTAACATATGAACACATATTCAAAATGGATCCAAGGTTTTAGTTCTTGACCCCAATCTATATTCATTTTTTTCTTCTTGGTCAGATATTTGTGTAGCCCCGGAGTCTCAGGGTGGGTTTGAGCGGGAGCAGATCCGGGAGCAGCTCGGTGGTTACATTGGTCACTTCTCGATGGGTCGTCTTCGCCGCTTCCTGTCTGGAATCATCTATGGAAGCCCTTTTAGAGCAGGTATATTTATTGCCTTTTTACAAAAATAAAACAAAATTCTTTTAATGCATGTTTGCCATTTTGCTTTATCCATCCACTGTGTAGATAACCAAACGTTTGAGGAGCTAACCCACTCCGACACATACATGGATGACATGGTTACAGACTACTATGAGAAATCTGCCAGCATGACGGACGTGTCCACTGCCTACCTGAGAGAAAGCAACCACACACGGGTCAACCTCCTCACACACAACATCCCCAAGGGGCCCTGCGCGCTCTGCGGCATGGGACCCCAGCGGCGGGAAACTGTGTACGGCTGTCTGGAGTGCACGACCGGTGGACAGAAATACGTCCGGCTGCACGTGGTGCCCTGTTTCGATCTGTGGCACAAAACGCTGAGGTGAAGAAGAGATTGTTCATCCTCTGGTGTTGCAACATGGGTGCAACTGTTTACAGTTTTGAAATGTTTGTTCTTGTAAACTTTAAAATAAAAGTCACGGAAACTTTCCTTGGGCTTGACTTTTTCTTTAACAAGAACATATTTACTACTAAGGACCACGCCACGACAGTATGGTGTTTGTAGGTTTAATGGAAGAAGTAACAATTCATTGATATGGAGGGGGTGATGAGATGAGACACTTCAAATATGCACAAGTTGAATACGAATGGAGACAGGTAGAAGAGATGTAGTGATGAAGGGATGGAGGGCTGAAGGGATAAGGGATGTCAGCATGAAGGGATGAGGGAAAGGAGGGATGAAGGGATGAAGGGATGGAGGGCTGAAGGGATAAGGGATGTCAGCATGAAGGGATGAGGGAAAGGAGGGAGGAAGGGATGTAGGGATGAAGGGCTGAAGGGATAAGGGATGTCAGCATGAAGGGATGAGGGAAAGGAGGGAGGAAGGGATGAAGGGATGAAGGGCTGAAGGGATAAGGGATGTCAGCATGAAGGGATGAGGGAAAGGAGGGAGGAAGGGATGTAGGGATGAAGGGATTGGTGGATGATGGCATGTAAGGATTGAGGGCTGTATGGATGTGGGGATGAATCGATGAAGGGGGTCGATGGGTGGAGGGAGGAAGGGGTTTGGCTAAGTATGAGGTAGGAAGGGAAATGTATGAGAAGAAGGGCGGGTTGAGAGAATGGAGACAAGCGATGGCCGGATGTTTGGGTATAGACTAAGCCATGATTAGAGATGGGGTTGAGGCATGCTCCTGAAGCGAAGTTAACAAATTAGCTTAATTTAAGTTGTTACTTCAGTATCATTTTGCATTGTAAAATGCACAGTATGGATTTTGTTGTATCATTGACCAATTTCTACTTGTGCTGTGTGTTTACTGTTGCTGCCAGATGCTACATTATTTAGTGGGAGTTTCAGGTTGAACTGGACTAGAGGGATCGTGTGAAGAGCACCTGCCTGGTATTGTACTGTTCCAAGTGTTTCATTTCTTTTGAGCAGGACTTTGTGCTTCCACTGTGTCTAATAATGTTTTATGTTGTACATCAAAACTAATGGTTCTTTCCACTGAAGTGAAGTTACTTGCAGTGGGGTAAATAACAGTACAATTCTGAGATACTTGTACTTTACTTGAGTATTTCCATTTTATGCTACTTTGTTCTTTTACTCCACTACGTTTATTTATTACCTTTAGTTACTTTACAGATTTGGATAAATGACGTGAAATATAATCAATACTTAAATCAGACTTTAGTTCCACCTGGAGTAAATTCACAAGCTACCCTGCAGTGTACTAGGTACTTAAAGTACTAGTATTAAAACTAGCTGCACCTTTACCAGCTTTGATAACACTTTAATACATCACTAATTATATTCAAAACATATCATAGATATCATTCTGAAATTGATCAATCTGCATAATGAGTACTTTTTAGAATATTTCAATGTTAATACTTTTGTACTTTTATTTGAGTAACATTTTGGTTGCAGGACTTTTACTGTAACAGAGTATTCCTAAACTCTGGTACTTCTACATTTACTTAGGTACACGATCTGAGTACTTATCCCACCTCTGGTTATTTGCAAAGGAAACATTTATAATATCTCTTCTTCAAATGGAAATGTGCAATTGTTTCCTTATGGTACTGTGGTTCATTTTAAATGACTTTTATATGTTCATATTTCATTATACTTAACAACGTTTTTGAGACAAGCATTTTTGACACTCCAAAACTTGTTAGACCCTAATAATTATAGTGTCTTGCTCATCTCAATTTATTGTAATACTGTACTAAACAATACATAGATATACCTATAATGTATGTTTATTTAATGAAATATATATAATACATCGGAGGAGTATTATTATTGATATAGTTTATTTCCACTCGTTTCCCCTCCCTGCCGCTAGAGGGCGCAGTGGTTTAAATGTAACTCGCCTCAGACCGGATGTGTCAAGTGTCAACAAAATGCTCACACGTGTAGAGGAATAAGCATGTGTAACATTAGCCCTACATTTACCATAATACGGAGAAATACAAATAATTAAACATAAGTGCGTGAACAGTTACCAAAATGAAGTTTGCTTATAGGGTAAGTACGCGACTGCTTGCTTGTAGCATCTTTCTGCAACTAACCTTACTGTACGGGAGAAAACGTCACACCAGACTTCACTCAAAATGTGTGAAATTGAATATGTTATTGTATATATGTTAAGGAAAAGAGTGAGAACTAAATAAACAAATGTACGATATATTGTGTTAGTATTCACACTTATATTCGGCTGACGGATATTTTAGAAAACCGCATTCTATTGTTTTTAAAAACACTTTTCTCTAACCGTTTTCACTAATAGACGTTAACTTCCCACATGTGTGAATTGCGTTCGGGATGAAGTTCAATTCATACCAGCGAATGTGAATTTTAAGTGATTTCTAAAAGAAAAACACTGTCTTTATTGTAGTTTTCCAATCTGCTCGGAGCGGTCTATCGTCAGGGAAATTTGAGTTTCTCTAAAGATGGCAACGCTGTGATCAGTCCGGTTGGAAACAGAATCTCTGTCTTCGACTTGAAAAAGTAAGTAATGGTTAAAAAAGTGTATTTGTATGTCACCGTGATTCTGTGAAGCCCTGCCTGCAAATCTAAGTTCAAGACGAGACAAATTGAAATGATGCATGAACTAACTGGTGTCACAATTTCTCCTTTAGCAACACATCTGAGACATTACCCATCTCCACTGTCAAAAACATCACATGTGTGGGTCTCTCTCCTGATGGGAACATAGCAATCGTTGTGGATGAAGGTATGACTTCCTGTCTCTTTCTTATGTTTGAACTCCAGTCAATGTGCTGTCGCAGGGGAAAAGATGTGTCTATGTTTGTGTCACACAGATGGTGCAGCAGTGTTGGTCAGTCTCATCACCCGAGCCATCCTTCATCATTTCCACTTCCACAAGCCCGTCAGCAGCATCCGCTTCTCACCCGATGGCAGGTCAGGATGAACTTCCTTCATGAAATATATTTTAAAATATATCTTCCCAGGTCCTAAAGTGAAATCTTCACGTTACTTTTCCTTGACCACCAGTGCAACATCTAAAATATATTTAATGTACTGTAAGATAACATTGAAATACTCACATTTGAAGAGCCAGAAACTGCAAATGTCCGCTATTATTGGTGAGAGAATCACAAAAACAGTAATTCAAGTTTTTATAATATTAATTGTTGCACCTATACCGGATATGTTTAAAGCTTTTTTACATTATGGACTATCTAGTTCCTAACTTACTGGTTACTTAAAATGTATTTCTGCAATATTGTTTTGATACGGTCACCTGAAGTCAAACATAAATAATGCTGAGTTTGAATGTGTTTGTTCCCTTACAGGAAGTTTGTTGTTACAAAGGAAAACGTAGCTCTGATGTACCACGCTCCTGGAAAGCAGCGCGAGTTTAATGCCTTTGTGTTGGACAAGAGTTACTACGGTCCCTACGATGAAACCACCTGCATCGACTGGACGGACGACTCCAAGTGAGTCAAAGTTTATTAGCCTTAAAGCATTCAAACAGCTGCGAAAAACAAAATGTCTCATTGTTGTAACATTTCCCTTTAGATGTTTTGTAGTGGGCAGCAAAGACATGTCCACGTGGGTGTTCGGTGCAGAGCGCTGGGCCAACCTCATCTACTACTCCCTCGGGGGACATAAGGACGTCATCGTGGGATGTTTCTTTGAGAAGGACAGCCTGGATGTGAGTTTATGTTCACTCTCTTGTCCTTTGTGACTTAAGCCGTAAGGACATGTTGTTTTGCATGAAGAAAAGACCTTAAAAGTGTCCCTTTGATGTCAGCTGTACACGGTGAGCCAGGACGGGACACTGTGTGTGTGGGAGAGTGACACGGAGCTGGACGGCCTTGTCCTCACAAAGAAACAGGACAAACCCAAGCCTCCAAAGGAAGGGGAGGAAGAGGAGGACGACGACGATGAGGAGGAGGACAGGGTGGAGGGACAGGAAGGAGAGGTCATCAGAGGGAAAGCTGAGGCTCGAAAAGACAAGGGGGAGACCAAAAACGTTCGATTCAGGCAGATGAGCAAGTAAGACGCTTTTTGTTTTCCTTTTATTTTTTGATAGAAAATAGCCTATAACAGTTGTTCACAGGCAGAAGTCCTTCCAAAACACTGCAAGGTTCATACTGTGCCAATCATCCTGCTCTCCATTAGGCGTTTGGCTCTGTGCAAAGAGCCGGTTCATCTGTCCTTTGGCTGCTCTAAGCTATAGTAGCAGCATCAGCGATGTACATGAAAATGTGCTGTAGCTTAGAGCTAATGTATTGGAGTCCTTTTTGCTCCTCGTTAAATGCTTGTCAAAGTTCTCAAACTTCACTTTTTCCTCTTGTAGGCACTTTTTCAACAAGGAGGGGGATTTTAACAACTTGACGGCTGTCACCTATCACAAGCAGACCCACATCCTGGTCACAGGTTTCGCCTCTGGGATTTTCCACCTGCACGAGCTTCCAGAGTTCAACCTTATCCACTCCCTGAGGTGAGAGACGAGCTGTTTTTTGTATGTCTGCAGCAACGACAAATCCCAGAAAAAATATGTCTACATTCATGTCATATATTTAGTTGAGTTACGCTTCTTCTTGCAGTATTTCCGACCAGAGAATCGCCTCAGTGTCTATAAACAGCTCTGGAGACTGGATCGGCTTCGGTTGCTCAGGTAAGAACCTCTTTCTTTGAATATTTTCTTAACTCAAAAAGTACCTGACTTCTAAAAAGATGAGGTTTGTTTTTTCAGGGATGGGTCAGCTGCTGGTGTGGGAGTGGCAGAGCGAGTCGTACGTCTTCAAGCAGCAGGGACACTTCAACAACATGTCCTCGCTGGCCTACTCTCCAGACGGACAGTACATCGCTACAGGAGGAGACGACGGAAAAGTGAGTCCTTCTTACTTTAAAGGTCTCCTATCATGCAAAGTACACGTTTTCATCTCTTCTATACATAAATATGTGTCCCCGGTGTGTCAGGGAACCCACAAAGTGTCAGAAAATACAACCCTCTCTCTTTTCCTCCGTACCCAAATCTCTAAAAACGGGGGTACAACAGAGCTGATCCAGATTTGCTGCCGATATGACGTAATATCTGAAATGTGGGCTGGCTTTACGCCCACGGCCCTATCAGAAACGTTACTATCAGAAACAATGCGCAACGTGTTGGAAGTAATATGGTCTGTGTTTACATTAGCAAGCAGCGCTAACACTCAGAGCTAACCTGTACTGGAGAGGATATGTGTAAAAAAGCAGGAAATAAAAAAAGGAACTCACCTTGTGGTAAGCCCGCAAGAGAAAAAGCATTTGAGCTCCATACTGTTTCAGAAATTATCCTTGATGTGGTTTGGAACATGATATGGCGTTTAATCCCGGCAGCATTTAACTGGGTAGAATTCTTCTGCATGTGTTTTTTTTTAAGCTACTGACCCAGAATCAGCTCTTTAATAATAGGGCTGAAACAGAGGGGTATGAGGTATGGCTTCAATGGGTGATCTGTTTGGTATTTTGAGCAAAACACTTCATAGACATGTTTTTTATATATCTGAGACCTACAATATATGCCTAAAAATAGTATAATAGGAGACCTTTAATTAAAAATGTTTACCGTGGATTACATAAGGGATTCTGATCATGTCAACACGGTGTTCTCTTCTCCCCAGGTCAAAGTGTGGAACACAAACAGCGGCCTTTGCTTCGTCACCTTCACAGAGCACACCAGCAGCGTCACTAAAGTCACCTTCACCTCCAGCGGCTTCGTCATCGTCAGCGCTTCTCTGGACGGGACGGTGCGAGCGTTCGACCTGCACAGGTGACCCACGGCAACGCTGGTCCCCTTCCAACTCCTAATGGAGACACACTGACAGCAGAAACGTCTCTGTGTCTAAAGGGAAACGACTTTTAAATGTCAGTGTGTACTTTTTGTGATTACAGGTACAGAAACTTCCGGACGTTCACGTCTCCGCGGCCTGCGCAGTTCTCCTCCCTCGCTGTAGACGTCAGCGGGGAGCTGGTGAGCGCCGGAGCTCAGGATTCATTTGAGATCTTTCTGTGGTCCATGCAGACAGGCAGACTGCTGGAGGTATGCACACATTCATATATATATATATACCTGGGTTCTACCACATTTATTTTTTTAAGTTTTAAAGCAAGTCAGTTGTCATATTTATGATGTTATCATATCAAAATCTCATCTCCCTGTTAATACAGGACGGTGCTGGAAATGTTGTTTTTGAAACACTTAATGCAACACATGTGAAACTTTGTGATCTGTAGAAAAAAAGACTTTTTGAATAAAGGCTTTGGAGTTATTGTAAATGTTTGGATCACACGAGTCGGACACAGTGCTGATAATCCCCCACTAGAATCTGACCCTACTAATAATACATTTAGTCAACATGAAGCTGTCTTTGGCTCTTTTCTGCTGTAACAAATGTAAATGTCCCCCTCTGTTGGACGAATAAAGTTTTCTGATTCTGAATATAATACTAATATTATTGGTGCAGTTTAATCAGAAATGCCAGCTTTAAACACAATGCTTAGTCATGCAAGAAAACAAAAACCTGCACAGAATGTAAACGTTGCTTCCAAACTCTTCAGCACATTTTATTAATTAAATTCTCACGTGGCTCGTGTTTAAAAATATTCATATTTTTCCCTCCCTGTTATTGATAGGTCCTTGGGGGCCACGAGGGCCCGGTCAGCTGTCTGTGCTTCAGTCCGGTCCATTCCATCCTGGCCAGTGTCTCCTGGGACCGCACTGTCCGGCTGTGGGACATGTTGGACAGCTGGCAGGTCAAAGAGACACTACCCCTCACCTCTGATGGTAAATACACACGCTGAATATTTCATTATACATACAATATGCATTACCTTAATATCTATTATTACTGCGCATATTTTATATTTTATTTCAATGTAAATACTGCTATATTTTACTGTATTCTTTAAATATTTTGTAATGTTATTACAGTTTTCTTAAAATAGTTTTCTATCTGTTTTCTGATTCTGAATATATAAGGAACCTGTGTTATCTCTGGAGTGTTAAGGGACTTTATTGTATGATGGTTCCAGGTGAAGTAGGTTCTGATGGTTCAAAAAGAGAGAATAAATCCAAGCGAACGTAGCGATTTTGATCAAATTCTGCTTTACAGTGGATAACAAGTCATTTCAAGGCCCTAAACATGTTGGAATAACACAAGAAACAACGTTTGTCTTTTGCGATGGATAATGTAGAGTATCACTGCTCTAAGTGATGTCATATTCTGTATATTTCCCTCTCAGGCTTGGCAGTGACGTACCGCCCTGATGGTCGGGAGCTGGCTGTAGCCACTCTGAACGGGGATGTTTCTTTCTGGAACCCACAAACGGCGACACAAACCGGCTCCGTGTCCGGACGCCACGACCTGGAGACAGGCCGCAAAGAGACGGATAAAATCACAGCCAAGCAGTCCGCTAAGGGGAAGTGAGTGAGAGCTGAACTCATTTCCTTTGGTCCAATCAAAGAGGATAAGGTTTTTTGTGGAATATAAGATTCAGGATGCGTTTCCTCACCTTTGTTCCTCCAGGTCCTTCACGTCGCTGTGCTACTCTGCGGACGGGGAGTCGGTTTTGGCGGGAGGACAATCCAAGTTTGTCTGCATCTACAACGTGAAGGAGCAGATGCTCATGAAGAAGTTTGAGATCTCCTGCAACCTGTCCTTCGATGCCATGGAGGTACGACTTTCAGAGCAACATCACACACTTAAAGGAATCTTTCATTTGCCACAGAAGGATCCAGTGATCACCAATATGCTTACTCAGTTCTTGGACTTGTTTTCCCATGCTGCCTTCAGGAGTTCCTGGACAGACGGAAGATGACGGAGTTCGGCAGCCTGGCTCTGGTGGACGAGGGAGCTGGAGACGGGGAGGGTGTCAACATCAGCCTGCCTGGAGTCAGGAAAGGTATGACATCACTTAAAAGAGCTGTTATGAAGTATGATAATCCTTTATTAATCCACAAAAGGGTTAGCATCATTGCCGTCAAGCTGATAATCCAAAATTGTGGTCTATTTTTCACGTCGTGCTCTGTATTCGCTTGTGTTTCTTCTCATATTTTCTGTATCGTTTTTTCTTTTAAAGGGGATATGAGTTCTCGACACTTCAAGCCTGAGATCAGAGTGACCTCGCTGCGGTTCTCTCCTACTGGTAGGTTGTCGTTATTAAGTATTGGGCGTGCTAGTAATGTCGGATAAAGAGGATAGAAAGGGTGCTTATGAAATGACAGTTTTAGAAATATAATAATTTAATTATCAAAACACTCTAAAGTTATCGTTTTTTTTGTCCATCCGTCAATTAACACATGAAATTGAATGTCCTCTATCATACTTTGTTATGCAGCTGGCAGCAAGTTGAGAAAGAATTGAGTTTAAATGTCGATGGGGGGGAGTGTAAGATCTGTAAACGCGGAGAGAGCAATGGTCACCTTACATACTCTGAATTGTATTTGTTGTCATATTTTTTTTATTTAAGTCAATCTAATGGGAAACTGCAGTCTTAAAGGGTTATTAAGTGTTTCCATGTGTTCTCAGGTCGTAGCTGGGCGGCCACCACCACCGAGGGTCTGCTGGTCTACTCTCTCGACGGCTCTCTGGTCTTTGACCCCTACGACCTTGACATGGACGTGACGCCGGCCAGCATCCGTAAGCAGCTGCGGCTCCAGGAGTGGGCGCCGGCCATCGTGCTGGCGTTCAGACTCAACGAAAAAGCCCTAAAGCAGGAAGTGCTGGAAAAAGTGCCACATGAGCAGAGTGAGTCCATCTCAAATGATAATGAAATGATCTACTCTCTCTGAAAGTGATCAATGATATTTATTTATTTGATCTTCCAGTCCCAGTGGTTTGCAGCTCTCTTCCTGAGATCTACGTGGAGAAGCTTCTGGGCTTCGTGGCGGCGAGTTTGGAGAAGTCGGGTCACCTGCAGTTCTACATGACCTGGGCCCAGAGCCTGCTCATGCTGCACGGACAGAAACTGAAGAACAGGTACGCTCCCAGGCCCTTATTTATTTCCCTTCCCGTCTTCATATGATTATGGGTGACTGATTATCTCTATCTGGTGTGCAGGTCGGGAGCCATACTGCCCACGCTGCAGGCGCTGCAGAAAAGCATCCAGAGACACTTTGACAATCTGTCCAAACTGTAAGTATTAACGTTTTTATCCCCACCGTCTTATATCGAGCTTTAATCAACACAACTCTGAAGTCACAAATGAGTTCCCATGTCATTTCCTGTTTTTGTAATGCAAGAAACCCTCCTGAGCCCTGACACCTTTGTTCCTACTATACAGGTGTGACTTTAACATGTATAACATTCGCTACGCCGTGGCCCTGTCGAAGCAGAGGGGCGTGAAGAGGACCGCTGAGGAGGAGGAGGAGGAGGAGGAGGATGAAGATGAAGAGATGTCCGAGAAGATGAGCGTGGCCTCCATCGAGGAGGCAGAGTTGATGCTGTAGATCTAAAGCCAGGAAACATCATTCCAACAACATGGCTGACATCACTGCAAAGAGCAACATATTATTGGACTGTAAAAGCAAACCGATGTTGTCTACTTCAGAAAACATGATTGTAAACTGTTTTTTTTATTAAATGCATTTTAATGTCTTTGAAAAAGAACTAAGCTGTAAGAGTGCATATCTTAGGTGTCTACCCGGTTGATATTTTTGGGGATGAACGTTCTAAAAACGGTATTTATAAAATGTTTTAATCATTTAATTGTTCAAAATGTTGCCAAGAGCATTTTTTGGTAGATTGGTGATGCAAAGGCTGGAGGTATAGGATTACATACATTAGTATAAAGCTTTAACTAGTTTAATTGCTTCCTTTTTTATTCACCTTCCCAAATAAAGACCTCAACATACAGCGAAGGATGAATCATTTATACAAGTGATATTTCAAGAAAAGAGTATCAGACCATACCACAGAACTATTTGTAATATTTTTGCCTCGACCCCGCCAAAGTGGATAGAGAACAAAATATATAACACTTTGTTTTCATATGAAAAAGGGAAGTCCAACCAGAAAATGCACACACTGTAGCCAATTTACTAACTATTTGTAAAGAAAGACGTATCAAAAGAAAACTTCTTCAGTCAGTAAGTAGGAAAACGTCAGATCTATAAACTAACTGATAAGTAGTTTTAAAAGTAATCTAATTTAGCTAAAATATTATGTTTGGTCCCTGCATAATATCGTGATTTTACACTCCAGTCCACATGGCGGCGGTATTGCGCCTCAGAGCTGGTTTGCCAACAACCAATAAACATCAAAGAAGAAGAAAGAAAGCCGGCAACTTTTCCGGTAGTGGCGCGGAAAAGGCGGAGTTTGAGCCAAAATGAGGGAAAATAAGAACATGTCCGAGACCCCCTCTCAAGCGGGAAAAGAAATACCGGCGAAAAAACAAAAACTAAGCAGTGACGAGAACAGTAACCCCGATTTATCAGGAGACGAGAATGTAAGCAGTTCAACTCTGTTGTTTCTTCTGCGACCAATTATCCATCAGTGCTTCTAGCAAGTTAGCATCGTGCTAAAATAGCCAACCGGCTAAAGTGTTTAGCTAGGAGCTTTGTTCATTTATACCGGCGATATGTAACTCAGCTGTGATGATAAAAGCTGCCAATCCATCCAAAAAGGTTACACATGGGTAGCTTCATTGCGTTTACGTACATACACATATTTGTTTGCTGTAGACAGTCACAGCATGGCCAACCCAAGGCAATTGTTAGCACTAGAAGCTAATATAAGTTAATCAGGGAGAGAAAGAAACAACTGTGGATGATGGAGGACAAACATTCATAGGGCCGTTATTGTCTTTTTTCAAACGTTAACCTCCTGTCAGCAATACATTTCTTGTGCAGAATAAAGTTATTCAGGCAGATTCCACTGGACGTGATCATGTAAATGCAGCAACAGTTTGATGAACCATAGAGTTAATTCATAGTTACACGCTTGCAGAACACTACCCGTATTAAAATGGTGCAATGTTGTCAATCATTGGTAGTGGTAGGTTTTTATGATATGTTCTTTACCTCCTTGCACAGTGATCACCACCAATGTATATCTGCAGGAGAAATATGTAGTCACCCGTATATGTCTTTGCTTTTGCAGGATGATGCTGTCAGTGTTGAGAGTGGGAACCACGCAGAGCGCCCAGACACCCCCACCAACACGGCCAACGCCCCGGGCAGAAAGAGCTGGGGCAAGGGCAAGTGGAAGTCCAAGAAGTGCAGATATTCTTTTAAATGTGTCAACAGCCTGAGGGTACGTACAGACAAGCGCCCAAACAGTGTATTAATCCCAGCTTCTCACATGCTAAACAGCCAGTATTTGTCCCGTGACTTGGTTTAATAATGACATAATGATTTCCACAGGAAGACCACGGACAGCCGCTGTTTGGCGTCCAGTTTAACTGGCACAGCAAGGAGGGAGACCCGCTGGTGTTTGCCACAGTGGGGAGTAACAGGGTAAGCTACTATAAAAGGCTATAATTGTTGTTCTATGTTGGATTTGATTCTTAACCAGTGCTTTCTTTTCTTCACCAGGTAACTCTTTATGAATGTCACTCTCAGGGAGAAATAAGACTATTGCAGTCTTACGTGGATGCAGATGTATCCTTTCAACAGTTTAAGATGCTTTTAAACGTCCTCATTGTCGCTCAAATCTAATCGTCACAGTTTAGGTATGAGTGCATCTCTGCATGCGAGATCACAGCAAGAGTTCTTGTATTTGAATTTCCTTAACTAAATGTGTGTAAAGACAGATGAGAACTTCTATACGTGTGCCTGGACCTACAACACCAACACAAACCATCCTCTGTTGGCCGTGGCTGGGTCCCGCGGAATCATCCGGGTGATCAACCACATCACAATGCAGTGTATCAAGGTACAGCTCGTCGGGGTTTGCAGTAGTTTGGGTGGTGTGTTCCTGGTTAAATTCAACAACACTCTGCGTCACCTAGCGCACATCTCTGTCTGAACACACATATAATACTCCATATAAATGTCTCTTAGAAACATAGCACAACAAGTAAGGACATTTGTGTTTGTTAGATTATTTCTTTGTTGTAATAATGCTTCTTGGCATTAAATCAGTATTGTCTGAATAACACTCCCATTATGTCCAATTTCCATACTGATCGCGTTGCCTCTTTTAACTGCACTGTTAGTGTACAGTTGTATTATCCTGCTGTTTTATTGTATCTTTGAAACTCTGGCACAACAATTTCCTTCGGGATAAATAATGTCCTATCTTATACTGTGGGAAAGCCTGTTTATTTACCTTTCAAATAGTGCCACATTTGTGAGGAACATGCATTTGTGGGATGAGCAGCAGAGCAGAGTATGTGGGTTGCGTCCATGAAAAATGTGACAAATCTCCTCTGTCAATGCCAAAAGGCTTTTTTGTGTTGTTTGGTGGATTGGATGGTTGAAGCCTGATGAAATAAGACATATTGGCAGTTTAACAATGTATTCATTTAACAAGCAGCCTCAGTAGCGTGTTGAAGATCCATACACAGCCACAGCAGCCTCTCCTCATGCTGCTCACCGGCCTGCTCACACACTACTGTGGGATGGTCCATTCTTCAACCAGCATTTCTCAGCCAACGTGGTTGTGTTGGTAACTCTGGCAGGTGCTGTGCCAATCAGGCACCTGATTGGCACAGCACCCGGGGGGACCAGCAGCTCAAAACAAGACTCAATAGCAACACCCAACAAGAGTCGACAGCAAAAAAAAAGCTGTTTGACATGAGACACATACTCAGCTGTTTGACATGAGACACATACTCAGCTGTTTGACATGAGACACATACTCAGCTGTTTGACATGAGACACATACTCAGCTGTTTGACATGAGACACATACTCAGCTGTTTGACATGAGACACACATACTCAGCTGTTTGACATGAGACACACATACTCAGCTGTTTGACATGAGACACATACTCAGCTGTTTGACATGAGACACATACTCAGCTGTTTGACATGAGACACATACTCAGCTGTTTGACATGAGACACACATACTCAGCTGTTTGACATGAGACACACATACTCAGCTGTTTGACATGAGACACATACTCAGCTGTTTGACATGAGACACATACTCAGCTGTTTGACATGAGACACATACTCAGCTGTTTGACATGAGACACATACTCAGCTGTTTGACATGAGACACACATACTCAGCTGTTTGACATGAGACACACATACTCAGCTGTTTGACATGAGACACACATACTCAGCTGTTTGACATGAGACACACATACTCAGCTGTTTGACATGAGACACACATACTCAGCTGTTTGACATGAGACACACATACTCAGCTGTTTGACATGAGACACACATACTCAGCTGTTTGACATGAGACACACATACTCAGCTGTTTGACATGAGACACATACTCAGCTGTTTGACATGAGACACATACTCAGCTGTTTGACATGAGACACATACTCAGCTGTTTGACATGAGACACATACTCAGCTCTGCAGCTCATCCCACAAATGCACGTTCCAGTTTAAAAGGGAAATGAACAGGCTTTCCAACTGTATACGATTTAATTAAGCATTGTTACAACAAAGAAATTATCTACCCATTTCCTTACTTTGTGTGCATTGTTTAGTTGTAGAACTCAAACTGAAAGTATTCTTCTGCACAGTTCAATGTTCAAGGCATGTTTTATATTCTATAGGATTCATTTGAGGAACCATTTAACACAGCTGGTTATTTATGAGATCATTTAGTTACAAAAATGTGTCTTAACCTGTTAAGCCCGAGAGACCCCGGTACCGACGCCCTCCCGCAACATCTTGCAGGAAACAGTGTCTGAGGGCATGTTCATTTAATAAACTATGAATGTTTTATATCCATGTAACGGGAAGAAACTCATCTAACTGATATTTTTTTTTTTTAAATTTAAAGAAAACCCACAATGCTAACACTGAGCCTCTGAATTATCAACGAGCGAAAAATGCTAACAAATTACTGCACCGAAAATCACTCACAAAACCTTATTATTTATCTCTTCTCCACATCCATGACATCGATTCACATCGTGAGGTGACACAGAATCGATGGGTACCCTCATTATCACTGAATTATACGACGTTATAAACAAAAACAGACATCAAAACAGGTGACGCTAGGTAGCTAAAAATGCTAACATTTTTACCTTGGCTCTGTAGTCTCTCCAAAGTGGTCTTCAATGGCATTAAAACGATAAAAACGCTGCTGCAGTTAATCCATAGGTTAATCCAATGTGTCTGTGTCCCTTTGAAATTATTTCTGATAAACCATAAGCAATAAAACTGCTTTTCCGTTTCCAGATGTCAAAGCTAGAGATAGGTTCACTGTTGCGGCTTTCACACCAGCGCTTTTCCCTTTCTAACTCCGAGCTAGAGCTTTTCTGGTTCAGCTCCGGTTTCCCTTTTCAGCTCCCGCTCTGTTCACACCGCCCAGCTGCCGCTGCTGCGTCATGACGTCACCGTTTACATCGCTGATTTTCTCCCCAACGGAGCTCACAACAACAACGGGGGGGGAACTGCGTCGGGTCGATGATCGTGTTGCTTTTAATCATATGAAGCCAGATTAAATTAAATAACGACTTCTCCAACCTTAT